TAGTGGGGGGCCGCGGTGCGTGCGGGCGAGTGCGCGGGCTAGCATGGTGCTCGCGGGAGAGTGTTGGTGCCCACGGGAAAGCGCTGGTGCTTCGCGGGCAGGCGTGGCAGCATCCCAGGTAGGCGGGGTAGTGCTGACAGTTGATTTTAAACGGGTTCACGGGTTGACCTGGCTACTCGTCGGGTCAACCCGAACCCGACCCATTCAAACGGGTCAATTTCTGGAACCCGAACCCGATCCTTTTTGAAATCGGGTTAGGTCAAACTCGAAATTTTTGGGTTGGGTTCGAGTCAGGTTTTCTTGTCGTGTCAAATATTGACTTTCCTAATTGATTTTTTAACATATTGTGCATGTATTGACATATTTGATTTAAGACAAAGGATATATCTAATCTTGTGATCATGATGTATTATAAATTTATAATAAACCAATTGAGTGGTATTACTTTTAAGAATTCTCAAAGTGTTGTTGGGAGGGAGATTCTTTATTCAATTTGGCAGGGAAAGGAGTTTCCATTGGTTTACAATCAAACATATTTGAATTATTCAAGATATTAGTGGTGCATGCAAAATGAATATGAAAGAATCCTCTATTAGTTTTGTTGACTTGGAAAACTAGAAAAATAGAGATTGGCCCAATCTCCTTAATGTGGAAGGTTTGATTTAGATTAATGATTGGGGAGAAGATAAGAGAATCACATTACCTGTAGTGAGAATATCATTTACTTGGATTAATAGAAAAATACAGATTCTTGATTTCAATATGAAGGAACAAGGGATTAGCAATAATGAGTGTGATGCTAAACTTCTTTAGATTATTAAGCAAGATAGTGTACCAAACTACCAATGCATGCTGCATATTTTAGACTATAGATTGCGATCTTAAGAAGACAAATATGGGTAAAGTTTTGTGTGTTATAGAATACTGGCGGTTGAGTCATGTAGACAACATCATCTAGCTTATCGTGTAAAAATGCATTAGAGATGTCTAGTTGAAGGACATTCCATCAGTGCTATAATGCAATGATTAGAAGAATTAGATAGTTGGCATTTGTTTCTATCGAACTAAACATCAAATCGTTGCCATGCTCTTGTTTAAATCATTATGCAATTAGCCTAGCTTTATAGCAAATCACAAAACCTTTGAAGTTAAATTTGGTTTTGAATCTAGCAGTAAGAAAAGAATGTTTTGATTTTTTTTTTTTTGGGAACTAATATCCAAGTTCCTTGATATTATAGGGCCAAAAATTTCTAAGACATGGCATCTCTCTGGTGCTGAAGATTGACGGCTAAGCTGTAACATGTAGGTTCTATTGTAGGTGTGTGTTGATGATTGAGATCTAGTATATATTGTAGTCTCCAAGTGCCCATTTGTTGTCGTATTTGCATATGATGCTGGTTGGAGTAGGAATTAGTGAGTGATGTAGAGAAGGATTCAGTGTCAAGAGTAGATGGCCGGTAATGTTCAAGTTTAGAGTTTCTATCACGAAAATATTGGTTTGGTAAAGAATGAGTTTTCATAAAAAATTGCATGGCATGAAGTAATTACTTTGCCAGATAGGATCAAAGCATGTGTAACCTTTGTAAATGTCAGAATATATTATAAAAATGCAATGAGGGGCTATTGTGGAGAGTTTCTTGTTATAGAGGGGTTTTTTTTGGGGAAATAGCATGAAGTTCCAAAGACATAGAGGAAAGAGTAGTCCAATTCTTTATTATGTGAAATTTGATAATGTGATTTTATTATTATGTCTTTTGGAGGGCAATTGATTGAACAAGTAGATAGCAGTTAACAATGCATCCATCTATAATTAATGAGGGAATTTTGCACCTAACGTAAGGTCCATGCTGTTTTAACGATGTGATAGTCTTCTTATTTCACCACACCATTTTATTTGGGGTATTGTACTCACCTCTTCCATCATATCTCATGAATTTAATGAGAGCATTAAATAGAGTTTTGGCCATTTTTTGAGATAGAACAAAATTTTGTGAAACCTGATCATATATATTTCATTATCAATAAAAAAACTCAAAAAAACTAACAACAATCATCAATAAATAAATATATGGTATTGGTATTTTTATAGAGTAGAAATAGGGGAAGACCCTCTTATATTTAAGTGCACTAATTTAAAAAGTTTTTGAGATTGAGATATAGACTTAAGATTTGTCAAATGTGGTTGTTTAAGTTTGTTATGTGCCAGCAAACAAGTGCAACATGGCTAGTCTTCTCACAAATATAGCATTTGTTTGTTGTATTTAAATTGCGCCCTCCCCTCCCCAAGGTGATGGATATACTGTAACGCCTTCCCACGTTGAGGAGGCATTGGTTGCTCTACCTCATCCTCGAGTTGGTGAATAAGAATCACGCCCATGCTAAGTGAGGAGGAAAGTTGTGATTTGAATATTCATTAGCATTCTCAATATTAATATTGATTTCATCACTGCATAGTTGAGTATAGATCAACAAGCCTAATTAATTCAAATTTTATGTAGATTGTCATTTTTATGCTTGATATGAAGGCGACAAGCCAATGTGTGCACTGTGCAGAGTAAATTGTCCTCAATATTCATCTGCAAATCAAATGTAGCTTTTGGTTGATGATAGGTTTAATCTTGAAGAGGTATAATGGCATGGTGTTTTTTCATTAAGATGAAGTATAACTCATTTCTCAATTAAATAATCGAGAGCAATTGGTTGATTGTACACGCCCATCTGACTTCGCTAAATCCTAGTAGCGGAGTTGAGGTTAAGGACTTATGGAAGGATTTATGCAGAGATGATGGAGTATATTATTGTGACCAAGCTTTGGTTTATTTGTTGTCATTTATTGTAATTGGGGTTGGGTATTAGTTGGTCATTGACATTAAATGTGTATTTTGGTAAGCATGGAGAAGATACACCTAGAAAGCATTTAAATCCATTCACCTTAACCCCATAAGGTTTAGTTGTCTATGCTTAAAAGGGTTTTATATGCGGTCTTAGCATTAACCATAAAGTTTTTGAGAGAAAGGAGATAATGGTTATTTCTATTACCTTGAGCTTTGGGAAGAAGAAGAATGGCATTGCGATGAAGACGATTAAAGGCAGTTATGCTAGGAGCATTTATGGATTAATTAGGAAGAAATGAAAAATGGATAGCAAGTTGAAAGGATCAAAGCTCTTAGTATATGCATTAATGAGCTCAAAATATAGAAAATTCGAGAGAATATAATGGGAAGGAGTAGAAAATGTGAATGATACAACGATCATGCATAACAACAATATGATTTGTTAATGTGTTTGTTTTTTTTTTAGTTCTTTCAATTCAATATATAGATATTATGGTTTTGTTTGAGACAGCTTTTTTAATATTTCATAAGGCAACTTTTTAATTTCAAAAATTTTAATTTTTGAACTAAAATGATGCTTTAAGAAGCATTAAGAAAGCCGCCCCAAATGAAGCCTATGTTAAAGCAAATACCAAATACATCCTTATTCATATGCTTCATTATTATTTCAAATAATGATACGTCATGGCTAACGTTATTCACATTCATAAGATTATGACTCACATCCATCAAAATAAATTAGTGGATCACATTATAGCTAAAAGTGACAAGTATTATTTTATATCCAAAAACAAAAATAAGTTATATTACAATTTTCTCAAATGAGTAAAACGTGTTTCAAAGTTAAAAACAAAAAATAAAAATAAAAAGATATAAAGTTAAAAATAAAAGATATAATAAATTGGAGAAAATTGTTCCGAAAATATTGCATGTTCTGAACATTAGTTTAATATTATTATGTAATATAAAAGTAAAAAAAATATTTACAAATGAAAACATGGGGTCCGTTTGAGGAGAGATTATTATATACGGAGTCCAGACGGGAGAATTGTCCGGATTTTATAAGTGTACGCAGTAAAAGCATAATTATTATACATACTGCATTTTTACTGTGCACACTAATAGAATCCGGACGCACACCTCCGGTCCAAACTCCACATGTAATAATCTCTTCATTTTTTAGGCTTTTTCTTTCATTAAAACTTATTTTGCTGTTTGCATTAGTTATGAAAAAACAAAAAAAAATTAATTATCTAATATTCTTTAGAGAAAAAAGTATAATATAAAATTTTTTTCTCATCGGAATAGTTATTAAGTTATTTTTTTTTTTTTTGGGGAAATTGTTATTAAGTTACTTTAATATTGTTGCAAAAGTCAAAGAGTCTGAAATAATGCACCCACTTGGCCACTTGATTATCATCACGTGCTGGATCTGGATATTTCAATGTTTATTTAGTTAAGCATGTGAAAGAGACGGTTCCGAACTTCAGAAATAAAGCACAATTAATATGACAATATCACAGGATAAGAGATATATTTATAATTAAAATATTAAAAATGAATATATATTCTGTATAATATTATATTTTAAAATTTAAAGATATTATATAATTATTAATTAAATAAAATTATTTTAATTGCTCATAAAATAAGATATTTAAATTTAGTAAATATCACAAATTCAATTGGAGAAAGAATAGTCATGATATTATATAAAATTTGACTTGTATTACCTCACATAGCATGATAAGGTAGATAGTCTTTAGGTCTCGTCTCTATTTCTATTAATTTCATTGTCTTTCTATTTCTTAACCGAGTTTTTTTTTTATGTTTAGTAATATGAAACTTGAGGCTCCTCATAATTTTTTGATGGATTTATGCACATTGCATTTAAATTATTTTACATATTAAATATTTAAAATTCACTATTTACTGATATAACAATTACACCTTTTTATTATTTTCTAAAAAAATTTTAAATTAAGAAATTTTGTACTAAAAAATAATTTTTAAAAATAATAAGAAAGGCTAAAAGCTTCCCAAACAAAGCCTAAATAATTATAAGATTTACATGATAAATATGTAATTGTAATGAATAAAACTTTGAAAGCTACGTCTGTAAATCCCCAAAAATATTTCCCCTCATCATCTATATTTAAACTTCTTCCGGCCTTGCTTCTTTCCTTGTGCTTAATTGGCAACCATGTCCACTTCTGCTGAGCCGCACTCTCTTCTGAACTGTACTGTCAAAGAACTCGCAGATTACAGCATCAGTGGTGCCGCCTCTTTGCCCTCAGCTTACTTCAACCACTGCCCCGCCGTTGCTGAAGCCGAACCCGTTGTCAACGAAGAGATCCCAACCATTGATGTTTCTCTGCTAAAAAATGGAACTCCTGAGGAACGTTCCAGGGTTATCCTTGATATTGGGCGGGCCTGTGAAGAGTGGGGCTGCTTTAATGTAAGTGATCAATCAGCATAAATGGATCTGAGCGATTAAATTAATAAAAAACTGCTTAAAATTGTTCCAGGTTGTGAATCATGGTATATCAGAGAGCTTACAGACGGCGATGATGGAAGCGTTCACCAAGTTCTTCAACCTCACAGAGGAGGAGAAGAAATATTACACGAAAACGAATTTGTATGAGCCGGTCTGCCATGGCACGAGCAGTAATTTGATGGGCATGGATGTGCGATTTTGGAGGGATTTTCTTAGGGTTGTGGTCCATCCGGTGTTCCACTACCCAGACAAACCTCGTGATTTCAGGTTTTTTATATTTGTTTTTAAAATTTTATTAAGTTCTTTTTTATTTTCTTATTTATTGCTTCCGCTTTTCTTTTTCTTGTTAAATTTATTTGGAAAGGATCATGAAGAAAGCATCCATTCTACCACGGTTGTTCTTTTAAATTAATTCTAGGGGAATTTACAGACATACCATTGAATTCTTATGTATTTGCATAAATCTTTATATTGACTTACTATTGCGCACTAAAACATTTGTCGCGTAGAGTGTTAAATATCTTAGAATCATACAAAGGCTCAAGAACACATAAAATTCGTACGAAGTACTAGAATTATTTTATATGAAAAATATAAAAAAAAAGAGAAAAACATCCAGGCTTGATCCATTTACAACAATCCACTACATAGTTATAGATGCAAGAATTTGCTATTCTCTACAATTAAAAAGACGAGATTATGCAATTGAGAATAATGGTTTGATTACTGTTGTATTGATTACGAAAGTTGGGTGTCCACAGACAGATAGTTAAAGTCTACTATTGAGAATGGATGTTAGTAGTTAGGTGATGATGATAGTGGTTGTTAATGATAGTCAGAAGCAACAATCACCAAGAAATACAATAGAGTTCTTAAGCTCTCTTAGCTTTTGAACTTGTTTCATGTGAAAAATGATGTCCTATTTATATTTATTTTAAGAGGGGTACTTTCAGGAATTTGGCCATAATCCAAAACACTTCATTGAACGAATCATATTAATATATTTGATCTTTGATTGTTTATCAAGCATTTATGTTCTTTAATGATGTTCTAATTGAATGATCTTGAGGTCATTGGATTAGTCTCATTGAGCCATTTGATTTGACTATAGTCACTCAAAATTAGGAGATCATTTGGTCCCTTATTAATATACTGAAGCACCTAAATATTCTTTAAGTACTTGATGGGTTCATACAAACTCAAATCGAATCACTTTTGTTGTCATTAGGTTCATCTTGTTGAGGCGCTAAGTTCAACTATACGTTTGTTAAAATTAGAGTTCGGATGATGCTAAATGTAATTCCAAAAATTTCAACTCAAATATTGCCTCTAGATTCATTTTGATCAAATGAATTTTTTGGAGGCATATCACTTATATATGACACCTTAATCTCAATGTCACATAAAAATGTCACTAATACTAACTCATCAAAATTAAAATCCAACTTTTTATGCATAAGTTTTGATGTGATTTAGATAAAAGTAAATTTAAAGACTTAAGCGTCTGGATGTGTAAATAATTAAGAATTTAATGGTATTTATATAAATCCCCCAATGACATTCAATTGACTTAGCACTACCACATTCAGTAGTAATTGAGGCCATTATTTCTTTTCCATAAGCATATACGGGTCAAGAAATTATAGCGCATATTTGAGGATGTTTTGAAAGACTTGATTGTTAATAGCCATCTTTAGGTGATTTCATCTCAATCATCTATTGTCAAAGTCTACATCACATGGGTTGTCACGATCCAACCCGATCGAAATGAATCCCATCGCATTGAGTCGCAACGGATAACCCCAATATCTAGTTCTGGAATTTGTTTTCAGGGTTTTCTTCCAATACACAGACATACTGAAAACACAGAGCTTCTATGAACATCCAAATACACAGAAAACTTATTCATAATTTTCTTTTTCTCATTCTTCAAAATAATCATATACATTACAGGGCATGTCTATAACAGAAAGAACAAAACATAACAGTAAACCAGTCATGATTGTACAAAAATCAAAAGTACAAAAATACCTATACTTCAGATTAGATCCTGAACGGCTAATTCAAAACTTTATTCCCTTTCCCAGAACCTGAAAATCATGAAGATAACCACAGTGAGCTAACAGCTCAACAAGACTACCCTAGCCGATCTAAATTTCTAGATTCTCACATTCCAAAATAATTCCCAGAAACTTTAAAAATAGTTTATTCTGATAGCCATACAAAAATTTAAATATTCATCAGAAATCTAGATATACAAACAGAATTCAGGCAATCATACAGAAATCAGATAATTAGATAGAATTCATATAACATATACAAAATAGATAATCATACAGAATCAAATAACATATACAGAAGAACTAAATCCAATTCATATCACAGAATAATTCAAATCACATTTTAAATCAGATTTCAAAGCACATTTCAAATTACATATCTTTGACCCAGACAGAATCTCAAAGGATTCTGACCCCTTATGCCTCCCTTCCCTGACACGGACAAAATCTTAAAGGATTATGGCCCCTTATGCCTCCCTTTGTGCTTACAGCACCAGAACTTATCATATATATAGAGTTATCAGATCAGAATTCATTTTCATATTCCCGGACCCAGACAGAATCTCAAAGGATTATGACCCCTTATGCCTCCCTTCCCTGACACAGACAGGATCTCAAAGGATTCCGGCCCCTCATAACTCTCTTATGTTATCATTCAAATCACATCAAACATCAATTCATATCAAATTCAGAGAAATCAGATTTGTATCAGAATATCGTTAGAGAGTATAACGATAGACAACAAAAATTCAACGGATCAGAAATTCGCAGTTTCTGAAAATTACCAAATTGTCAAAGATAGTATAAAACATCATTTCAGGACTTTCATTGGACTGAAGCAATTTTTTTCGACATCCAGATAATTTTCTATTCGATAAAAATCTCACATAATTCAAAATACTAGGTGCAAAATTTTCAGAAAATACTCAAAACGTGTAAAATCATTATCTCAAAAACATATCAAAAGTTACTCGGTAAAAGTTCTATCAATGCAAAGATATACCCATTTTTCGCTAACAAAAACAAAATTTTAAATCACATTTCTGAAAATTGAGAAAGGCATAATGTGCCTTACCTTAAGTAGAACAAGTTTCCCAACTACGGCAACAGACGAAAACGGACCGAAGTCGCCCAAAACTGGCTTTTCTTCCTCTTTCCTTTGTTTTCTCTCTTCTCAGCTGGTTTCTCTCTCTTCAAAATGAAAATTATATATTTAATGGGCTGAGATTTTTCCCCGATTGTCTCGACGATATTCATGATTTATCCCGGGACGATCTCCTCGGTTGGTTCACAAATAAAATTCGTACGAACAAAAATTGGGATTCGTCCCAGGATGATCTTCTCGGGTCGCCTTCGTACGAACGATGATTACTCTTCGTCCCTGGACGAAGATCTCTGTAAAAAACTTTCAATTGTTCGTCCATGATGAACCCAACTTCGTACGAACGAACCTGGAAGAAAAATCCAAAATAAGCTAAACATGAAAGAAAAAGGGTTTTCACTTGGGTACTCTACTTCACTTTTATTTTTCTCCACCGCTACCAGCAACAACTATCCTTTTTCATCGCTGATGTGGTTTTCAATGCTCTTGCTGCTTCCACCGTCACACTCCATCCTCATCTTCATCAGTCCTAACGCACAACATCCTTTTAAACTCGCACTAATAACTATTTGTCTAAGAGATCTCAATTTATTTTCTTCTTTAAAGTTAATATCTTCTCGGGTATCAGAATCATCCAAAACATCCTACAAACTCTAAAAACTCCCAAATTCTTCATATCATTGGATTCAACATGACCAACTCTTTTTTCAGGCCATATTTATATCTGTCTTTGATTCTCTTATGACTTATTGCACATCTCTTGAAAATGATGATCTCATCCTTCATTGTCCTAATGGTACTGGACATGAATTTAAACAGATTTTTTGTGTTTTTTTTTTGTGCAAGGGATCAAACCATCTCATATGAAACTGATAGGAAATACTTGAGTTCGCAAGTAATCCTATCGGAAATACTTGAGTTCGCAAGCAACCCTAACAATAAATTGGTAAAATCAGCGAGAAAATACCCAAGAACATCAATGAAATCAACTCAAAATAGTAGATTTTATTATATCGAACAAAACAAGCAAAACATAGAGAAAAAATACAATTGATCCTCAATTCGAGAGTATGATCGTTCTCTTCCAATCTCTAGACAATAAGTCTAGAGCTCAAGACCCCAAAAGACTCCAAGAGAAAACAATCACTAATCATGCCCTATCCGTTCCCTCTCATTCCTATTTATAGCCTTAACCGTCCACCCCCTTGCCAAAAATAGATTAAATCAAATAGATTAATCCCCTTATCAAAAATAGATTAAATAAAATAGTTAATCCCCTTGCCAAAAATAGATTAAATCAAATAGATTAATCCCCTTGTCAAAAATAGATTAATTCAAATAGTGAACCACACAATAGGGGCCCCCCTATTGCTTGGGCCGCAACATGGGAGGCAGTTTGACTCGCCTCCTGTAGACTAAGGTCAGCCCATGTGGGGTCGGCTGGGTGGGTTCAAGAATCGACCTAATAATATCGCCTTCCCAAAGAACCACCTTGTCCTCAAGGTGGAAAGAGGGAATCTGATGCTTTATCCTCTCATAAGGCTCCCATGTTGCCTCATAATCTGGAAGATCCTTCCACTTGATCAATACCTCTTTTACTCCTCCCACTCCCTTGTGTACCTCTTGTAACTTGAAGGGTTCTAGTATCACCTCCAAGTCCTCTGTTAAAGTCATTGATATCTCAGAACTTGTGGAAATATGCTCGTGTTCCCGTGGAGGTGGCCATCCTTGAGGTGGCTGAAAAACCTTATCGAATTGTTGAATCAAGGGTTGCACTGAAAGAGAAACATCCCCTCCCTCCTCCAATCTGATCACTTCCCTCCTGTGTAGTCCCACCAGGTAATCTTCCCCCACCTCTTGTATGCTTCTAACCATGGCCTTAAGTGATACCATGACTTTGAAAAGTCCGGCATCTCTCCTTATAATCACCTTTCTCCTATCCACCATTAATTCCATCGTGAGTGCTCCCCAATTGTCCTTGACTTTCCCCAAGGTTTGCAACCACTTTATCCTCAGGATGACATCAGTACTTCCTAACTCTAATGGGAGAAAATCCTTCATTACTTGAATCCCCTGGATGGTAAAGACCACTCCTCTATGGATCC